TGGTATCATCGCCTTTAGTATAATAAGAGAAGCAACTTCCGCAGAAAATTCTAGCTCTATGTTGCCTTGGGACTTCGTAGACGTCCCGAAACCTCTCCAAAAGTAGTTTTCGTACCTTGTTGAGGTTAGCAGTGATTTCAGAGGTGAGAGGGGCAAATGCATCCATATCGCTTCATACAAACAAGATGGATACGATCACGATACAGAGAATGTCCGCGACCCACGAGTTTTCCTCCAGAGGCTCACCATTGCCAGGAAAATTTGATGTGGTGGTTGAAGAATTCTCAACAGGCGAGCGCATACCGGTAGAAGTGCGCAATGTGTTCGGAAACTGCTGACGTACGGGAAAAACCGGGTTTGCGCGCAAAATCCACCAAGGCCTTGTGGAAATTTGCCATACAGATAGAACCAAAATGGAACCAAAATGGCATCCAAGACATCACATTTGTCAACATTACCACTACAGTACTGAGGGAATACGTAACAAAGCTAACATATTACCTACATCCAAGCCTATAATACATTACCTACGACTCTTTGTTTTCTTTAATTCATTCCATTCTCTCCACAGTGGCAGTCTTTGCCATTCTCATCAAGCAACATCTTCATCAATTGCCATCAGCAACTGCCACAGCAACATGGAAACCATAGTAGCTCTCAAACATAACAATCAACAGAGCTTAGACCTTGGGGACAAAAGAAGGGAAGGAAAGGGAAGAGGAATCCTTCATTCGGTCGTGTCGTTTCCAGCCTCTTCTGTACTTGTTTCATTTTCTCGTCGATAGCTATCACACCACTTCTCTGACCTTGCATGATTGCAAATCAAACCCCATTGCTCTTCTGGAACACGTGTTGTAGATGGTGTCTGTGTTGTAGCCGGCATAGTTACCTTCTTTGGCTTCCATTTCGCCATCAATCATTGTCCCATCGTGAGCGGTGGTTTTTCGTGGATCGGGGTCATATCTTTACAGAGTTCGAAAAAAGAAACATTGAGATGGGATGGTTGTTGTATCATTGCGCAAACGCGGGTGTGATCCAAGGATATGATGCAGTATATAACCATGATGAAATGCTCAACGGACGAAAGGAATCAGCTCGTAAAATTCTCTAACCACTTTCAGTTCATCATAAGGTCTTTTAGGAGTCACCCGAACCGTCTGGCCTTCATCCGCCACGCGGACAATTAACGGAAAATTCAAAAAGAAGTGAGACACAAGTCGGGCAAAAAGAACGCGCGCAAAGTGTTACACATGAACCTACCGGATTGAATTCGAGGCTTGCTGGCTCATTTTGCCGCCAGAAATGCAGTCCCGTGAGGAAAGGAGTCACAAAGACTCCGCAAAGGAGTGAAAAATTGTGGATCTCCGAAATAATGATTGTCGTAGGGAATCGATATGTTGCAAGTCGGAAGAAAACCAGCGCATACGTAAGCAGAATTCTATTACACCTAGCCAATGAGATCCTTTTTATTTGCATTGGCTTTGACACCTTCTCCCAAGAGGTCCGTTTCATTGGCACCTTTTCCCAAGAGGTCCTTTTATTAGAGTTCCCAAAGACGGGATCCAAATGCACCAATTTTGCCCAACTTGGCGCTTGGAAGAATTGCTTCTTCTTGGCTACGACTTGTGACGACGAACGGTTGAGACCAGCAGTACCTGGTTACCAGGTACTTCTCTTCCCCTGTCAAATCGATCTGTCATAAGAATAATCAGAATAATTGTATGTCTATAGTCTTATTGAAATGCCAATCTATTCAAATGTAGGATTCGCGAGCATGGTGTCTGCTTATGATCTTTGATGCGACGGAGCCACGTTGAATTCGTCCAAGACTGTTGAAAGAGACATTTATTGCGCCTCTTTCTATTATAGGAGTGCTTTCGTTGGTGGCAATGACACATCGAGACAGCTCAAAAGAAGAAGAGGTTGTGCTTGTAGAAAAGGAATACCCGTAACGTAGCGAATTTTGTTGATTGATGTTTCATTCCAAAAATTATGTTGCCAACGTAGAATGGCAGAACCTCAGTCAATACTTCGCAAAAAGAAAGACGCAAACGTAGCTCATTCGTAGAATAACAGGTCGGTGACTTTGCAACGTAGAGCATTTGACTTGTTGACGAGTTGACATCAGAACATTGTTTTGGCAACAACAGAATGACAAAATCTCGTTCAAAACTTCGCGGATATACAGGCGAAATAGACGCAAGCGTAGATCTTTCGTAGTATCATAGATTGTTTACTTGAGTTGGTGGGGTCTCGTTGGTTCGTCAAGGTCTCTTTCCCGTCGGCATCATTGAAAGCAATTTTGGAAAGGTCTTGAATCATGATAGTGATAGGGAAATGAAAGTCGATCGATTGCAGAAGCGCAACCACATTCATTCGATCCGTCTCATCACTGCGCATAGAGCGATAATAGAGTTGTGTAAGAAACTTGTATGGAGGAGATGCAACGCCCATCCGAAACTTACCTTCATTTTCATTGCAATTTTGATGAAACCGTGAGTGAATGAATGATTGATGAATTCAAATCTAACGGATAGAAGGCCGGCGAGCGGGTATGCCGGCGTGACGTTTTGAATCTCGGCGGGAAATGGAGATTGACTGGGAAAGGCCAGACGGTTCGGGTGACTCCTAAACTACCTACGTGTTGTATGGCATATAATATTTGATTTGTATAAAGGTATATGCCTGCTCAAGTTTTGAAGCTACCATCGAACGCAGGGAAAAGGGAGTTTTTACGGGATTGCTCAACAAACAACGAATTTTCTTGGCGCTACAGGAGTTTTTACCGGACAAATTGCCAATACAGGATCGAAGGAGAATATACGGGAAAAAACGGATGGGAGTACATACCATTCCCGTAAATCTTCCAGAAACCCCGTAACTTTCGTCCGCAGTAAACATCGTAACGCATAGTGACGATAATATTTATATGGTTTATCAGATCCAGCAATAACTGCTGAAAGTTATTCAACGAACAAAAATGAAAATGAAAATGAAAATGAAAACTACAACAACCACAAAACGGCATCGAGCGTACTACGAACGCTATGATGGGTGACACAACACCAATGGCAAATGTAATAACGAATGGGTGCCGCAACACCAACGAAAACTGCCTTGATGGGTGCCGCAACACCAACGAAAACTGCTTTGATGGGTGCCGCAACACCAACGAAAACTGCTTTGATGGGTGCTGCAACACCAAGGAAAACTGCTTTGATGGGTGCCGCAACACCAACGAAAACTGCTTTGATGGGTGCTGCAACACCAACGAAAACTGCTTTGATGGGTGCCGCAACACCAACGAAAACTGTAGCCTTTTTTAAATAAAAAAAAAACCGAAAACTTTAACTAACAATACGATGTATGACATTGATATAGGCAACATGGCCGCCGTCCCTCCTCTCTTCACCGTTCATGACAATATGGTCATTTGTGGCATTAACGATGCAACCCTATTCCAAGGACGTACGCAAGCTGAGAGAATTGCTTATGAAATATTCTCTGATGATTTTAACACTACAATGGATGTATCCATTGACGAACTTAACGACGAACTCAAAACAATTGCAGGAATGACTACTGCACAAGGGCAAATTCGATTGATGCCTGGCATCAAGAAAAATATTCGCGCCTTCATCCAATGGTGCAGGGACGAATTCCGCATGGGACGGGACCCAGCAACAGTACAATTTCCAGTCATTGATGCAGCCCAACTGTTTTGACGCATGAAAACACACGAGCAATATGTGTATGCCTCCAAATTGATGTCACAACAAGCACTGCCTCAAGACTTCACCAACGACGTCACATGGGAGGATTGGCACCCAACGTTTGTGAAGTACCTCCGTACCATGTGGTCCAAACCAACGAAGCGTCAGTTCCGACATACCACGAAGACTTCCTAGAGATGTACATCCAAATGGCACCACTCGACGGCGAAGCCTTCACGATGGACAACGCCAAAGTTTTAGTCCTCTTGCGAAAATACATCGTGGGCAATACCCAGGCCGAGGCGACAATACGAGCCATTAATGTTGAAGGCAAAGGAAGAGATGCATTTATCGCCCTACGCACCCACTACAAAGGAGAAGGACTCCTAGCCCACGACATCGTCGAGGCCGAAAACACAATCAAGAACCTATACTACGTGGGAGAAAAGCCTACCATGAACTGGGCCATGTTTGAACGCATGCTGAAGAAAGCATACGCAGCATCCGACAAACATGAGGGGAGAGTAGTACATTCGGAGGCAATGAAACTACGTAACCTGCAAACCAAGGTTACTGCATCGTTCCTACAACTGAACAAGACGGCGATTGACACGGAAATTGGCAAACGGCCGATGGTGATGAATTTCACGACAGCACTACGAATCTACCGAACTGCAGTGAGGGAAAAGTTTCCCCAAGGAGCCAACAATGCTACTGACAGGGGACGACACTTGGGCAAGGCTCGAGCTAGTAACAATAGGAACAGGCAAAACGACGACAGGAGCAGGAGCCAAAACGGAGGAGGGAGAAACAGACACAGAGATGAAGAAGAAATTACCCTGAGCAATGGGGAGAAGATCTGGTACCGCCCCAGTTATCACTTTCCCCGTGATCAGCTACGGGCAATGACTGATTCCCAACAAGAACGCATGTCAAATGAAAGGGCTGCGCATCGTGCACATCAAGGAATGCCGGCAAGACAAACGCGACAGAACACCACGGAAACACAACTGTCTGAGTTAAGAGCAGAGATGGCGTCACTCAGATCAAACAACGTCCCTGGGGCTGTTGAAACGGGAGAATCAGCTACACGAATATCACAGGTGACGATGGGGACTGGTGGAATTTCCGTAATGGGCGGACGCAACCAACAAGCGAGCGGGCACAACCAACAGGCAGGTGGATCGTCACCATGATCCGCGGTAGGTGAGGTCAAACGAATTGTGCGAGTGATCTCATCCAACACAGCCACATCTCAACAACCGGTACAACAACCAACACCTGGAACGCTAGCAAGTAATGAAATGGACACCAATGCCGACACTTGTTGCCTTGGCAAGAACTTTGTGATCATGAGTTACACACCAAGATCAGCAGATGTTATGCATACGACCCAGCATTACCACCTACAAACGTCCCTATTGTGTCGGGAGCAACTGCTTTTGATTGTCCACAGACTGGTAATACGTTCATCTTGATAATTAACGAAGCACTCTACTATGGGAACCGATTGGACCATTCACTAATCAACCCAAACCAGGTACAAAGTTTCGGAATTCCCCTATGGGATAACCCTTTTGACGAAACAAGGCATGTTGGTATTGAATCCAAAAAGATATTCATAGCATTAAAGGCAAAAGGCACAAAGTTACTTTTTGATTCAAGGGCGCCAACTGAACAAGAACTTGCAACCTGTCTCCACACCGACCTGACGAGCAAGGTGCCGTGGAACCCAGGAACTGTCCAACTTGGTAAGGTCTCCGCAGCCCACGAAGACACTGAGGACCATGTAGACGATCCAAGATCCAACGAGGCAGAACTGAGACACTTAGACCCCATAATGCAAGGGATGAACGAATGGCCCACCGTGCAAACGGCGATGGCCGATGGGGAAAGATTCTTGAAACAAATGGCAAGAACAGGAAACGAACGATTTGCAGACGTGCCAGTAAGGCCATCGTTTGTATCCACTGAACGACATACCAAGGCAAAGTTGACCTTGTACTTCGATTATAGGGCGCCAAACTTGGATTACTCCAAATTGAGGTCCTCTAGAGAAGACTTCCAGGCATACTATCGAGACGCAAAAGAGGAAATGCCGCACAACGCACCCAAGCCAAGGGGACAAAGCGTAGGGAGTACCACATGGGTAGATGCTTCTCACGGTGCTAACAAGAAGACACGAAAATCACATACGGGTTATGTGATCTTCCGCAATCGAGCTCCCATATTATGGCACAGCAAAAGGCAGAACACGGTAGAAGCGAGCACTTTTGGTTCGGAGTTTATCGCCTTGAAAGCATGCATTGAGGCCATCGCACATTTGAGATTCAAGTTGAGGATGTTTGGAATCCCTTTGGAGGATGAACCAACACACATATTTTGCGACAATGAGAGCGTGGTGACGAATGCAACAAAGGTCGAATCGACCTTGAACAAGAAGCACAATTCCATAGCATACCATTATACAAGATGGAACGTGGCTGCTGGAGTTGTCGATGTATCATGGACACCAGGAATGTTAAACCTCGCTGATGTCTTCACGAAGCGGTTGACCCTGGAAAGACGGGGACGCCTATATGGTGAATGGACGTACTAGTCATGTTATCGAACTGAATTCCATCGTTGGTATCCAGCTCGAGGGGACCAAATAAAGGTGACTGTGCTATAGGATGCGAGATGCGCCGTACTGATACGAACATGTACGATTGTAAGCGGTCTGTGAGTAGTAAGGATAAATCGGCTGCTTACAAAAGCTGTCGATGAACGATGAACACACTCTTTTTAAGAATACGTTTGATTGCAATACTGTCTACCGTCTACCATAACTACTACTTCGTAAGTCAACAACATCGTAACGCAGTGACGATAATATTTATATGCGAGCCCACCACCCCAAAAATTAAAATTAAAAAATAATAATAATAAATTAAAACAAGCGCAAAAACTATACAACGAAACCCATAACGCGCGCAAAAACTATACAATGAAACCCATAACACGCGCGAAAACTACACAATGAACCGAAAAATATATATATCGCCCCGAAAAAAAAGAAAGAAAAAAAAGGAACACACACACCACAACCAGTATTACACGACCCAAAACATGACCCAAAAAAGCATAGTGCAGTAGGTCGAAGCACACATGACGATACAAGTTGACCCAAAAGAGTAGCCAACAACAAATATGGTATGTCGCAGCATATGATAAAAGTTGACAAACGAGTAGCCAACAAGAGTAGCCAACAAGAGTAACCAACAAGAGTAACCAACAAGAAAGACCCAAACAGTACAGTATGTCGCAGCATACTGTGCTTGTTGACCCAACAAAAGCGTAGCCAACAACAAAGTATAGTATGTCGCAGCATACTCTACAACGTTGAATAAAAACCCAACTCCCAAGACGAAGGACCAGATATAGCAACCCCCTTACTCCCCGAAATACGTGTGTACAACGACTAAGATGAGGACTGATCCTCCCGTTCTGACCGTCGTACCGCGAAGCACCTAGTCAAACTTTGGAATTGGGTTAGATGGCGATTTTTCTTCGGCTACCTTGTTTGGTGCCAGCAGCCATTCATCAAGAAGAGGGGGAGGTGAAAACAGACCAAGATGAGACGTTATAACACAGTCGCCTAAATGGAAGAAGAGGGGACGTAACGTGACTGACTGGACTGCCGAGTCCCGAGCAGATATATTAGAGCGATCGAAGGCCAACGGTCGTCGCCAATCTCAAGCCCAAGATCAATCATCTATCATCTACTCACAGCTGCTTCAGACCCCGTAAATACACCCCAATAGCAATATCAATCACCGCCTATCATGTCCAACAGTAGCTACATCAATGCACTAGTACGCTCTCTCCACGATGAGAGTCAGGAGCACAACGTTGTCACGTTAAGCACAATATATTATACAAGAAGTCCAAACATCGTGTTCACACTCTTTGTTTTGACAGCAGTTGCGGTTCAAACACAAAACCCAACGATTCCAACATTTGCAAGCGGTGGATGATCATGCTGGACGACGCCCCAGATTTGTAGAGCTTGTATTGACGGCGTTGACACTTTGCCCAAGTGGAGATCCCTCATCGTTCTGCGAAGAAAAATCTCCGAAACTTCGTTTAGAGCCGACTTTGCCGGTAGTGTCATTTAAGTTTTCCGTTTCAAGGTCCGAAGAAAAGATGGTGGAGTCATCCATCATCATGAAACTGGAATCATACAATGATTGCGTTTGAGGGACCGTGTGAGTGTCTGGGTCCTTTGGTCGGAGTGGCGATCCTTAAGCTAGTAGAAAGTTACTCTACGCTCAACAAATCCGCCCTATCTTGTTTGGATTCTTTAAAATATATCGTGTTTGCATCTACTAGAAATTTTGACTGCAGTTTGTGGTTCAAACACAAGACCCAAGGATTCCAACGTTTGCAACCGATGGACAGTCATAGCGGTTGTAGAAGGAGCAGAAGCACCAGCGGCGTACAATTTGTATTGACGACGTTGGCATTTTACCCACGTCGCCAATGTAGGATTTTCGCAGTAGTCCGATGGAACATTGCAGTGTCCCGTTCGTTGCTTGAAGGCCTTGAGTTCATTGAGCTTCTCCTGCCACGCGGAAGCATGGGATTGCCATATAAAGCCAATAGACTCAAGCTCTTGGATACGACGAGTAGTCATCGTAGAGGTAGGATTGTTATCATTGAACTTCTTGTATTGATATCTTTGTCTCTTGACCCATCGTGCGAGGACGGGATCTTCTTGGTAAGAGTGAGGAACACAGCAGTGTCCGTTCTTCATTTTGTATTGGATTAACTTTTGGAGTTGAGCTCGCCACTGCTTGTCTTGGTAAGGGCGAAAGCGAGGTGTGCTTTCTTCGCCAAAAGTGCTCTGCGCAGCATGGCTCGTCGTCGTTCGTTGGCGTTTGTATGCTGGGTTCTCCTGGTTGCCTTGGTTGTTGTGGTTGGAGGATAAGAAGAAGCCTTCGCGGCTTCTCTTGGAGCTCGCAACGGTGCTGCAGTATGGTTCCTCATCGTTATGGGAAAAGAAATCTCCGAAGCTTGTTTTGGAGGCAACTTTGCTGGTGGGATCAATGGTGGGACCAACTTTGCTGGTGTCATTTGACTTATTGTCCTCTTCGGTAAAGATAGACTCATCTACCAATAATCTCGTATCATACAATGATTGCATGCTCCTATCATACAACGATTGCATTATTTGATGCGCATTGTGAGTATCTTCATCTTGTGATTCGATTGGCGATGGCTCCATGCGTGGATCATCAAAGGGGTCGTCAAAAGAAAAAGGAGGCAGGCGAAGGTAAGAAAGAGACGAACATGGTCCATCCATAGACAGCAAAGGGCTTGTAAGGAGTGACACAAGATCGTCATCTTCGATCTTGGAAAAGCTGAAGCTATCGCCTCGAAGATTGTCGTTGTTGGCAGTCACGATCATGACGAAGAGGAATAATGAGTAATGAGAGAAATAATATAACCGTGTAAATACTGTAGACGAAAAATTAGTTGGATTTGTTGCCGTTTTTACGCCACCTTTTTTGTGACTGATCAGAAGTTGTAAATACCTGAAACTCGTCGTGTATTTCCATTCCTTGGTCGAGTGTAACTGTTTTGATGTCAGGCATGTCGTAGATGTCGCATGATGAGTCAGAGACACAAGCAGATGTCCAGCTTGTTCTCTGTCATGCACGGCCAATAAGTAATGTATATATTGGCGAGGAACGGGTTCGACACGCGAACACGTTCACGATCCGTTTGGATAAACATGCAATTATCCACATCACAAGCAAAAGGAATCCGACAACGATTCACAACAACAACGTAATACGATAGTGACTGTTACCATCTTCACCTTACACACGTATTCAAATCAGTTTATCAGTACCCAAATAAGCTACAACTATGGTGCAAATCGATCCAGCAGCGATGACTGCTTTCTGGGAGCAAGAGGTCCAGATGCGCATCGTGCAGGATATACGGGACCAACTGGAACTTGATGGCTTGACAACATTCGAGAGTTTTGCCGACTACACCAAGGATGACTTATTGGCCATGAGGAAGCGAATCAGCTACATTCAAAACATCCCTCATTTTGGTCAAGATTCGTTCAAACGCCTTGTGATTGCATTTGAAGCATCTCGCAACTACAAGCTTGTTGGTCGCGAAATCACTGCCGCAATGATGCATTATGAAAACACATTGAAACATTTTGCCGAGGACTGGAAGACCATTGTTTCCCTTGAAGGAAGGCCTGAACCGCCAGTTCCCACAATTAGCCAAGCCCTTCCACCAATGAAATGGGTCTCTGCGTTTGTGATTGCAATGCAGACTACGAAGTCAGCAAGATTCGGAATCACCCTGTATTATGTGATTCGCCCGGAGGAAGTGCCAGTCGACCCTGCACCTCCATTGGAAGAGAACAAAGCTTTTTCTGAAGTCTATGGTTCTCTTTGGGATGAGCGACAACTTAGAGCAAGTCATTCGCACCCATCCTTCAAAACGGATGATAAGACTCTTTTTCAGAAGCTTGATGAAGCTGTGAGATCCACGAACTATGTCTCCTGTATCGAGCCTTTTCGTGCGAAGGGACAAGGCCGAAAAGCCTACTTTGCCCTTATCAAAACCTACCTCGGTGATGACAAGTGGCTATCAGAGATCACTAAGTATGATAACATGATGCGCAACGCAAAGTGGAAAGGAGCTGGTAACCTGACAGTCGAGGCATACATTGCTGTGCACCGCAATGCATACCAACACCTCGTTTCTGCGTCAGAACATGTTGCATACCAGTTGCCTAACCAACAGACGCGTGTCAAACAACTACTTGATGGAATTCTTTCCAGTGATGCTCGATTGAATGCGGCAATTGCAATGGTCCAAGCTAGCAACGTAATGATTGCTGATTTTGAATTGGCTTCGGCCCATATTCAGCCTCATTGCCCGGTTGCCAAGCGAAACCTAGGAGGCAAGCGCCAGAGTGCAGAAATTTCTGCTCTTGAGATTGACACTGGTGATGTTGACATTGCATCTGTGGGAGTTGGAGGAGGTAAAGGCCAGCGTACCGGCGTCCATCTTCGCTTCCACACCCTACCAGAGTACCAGAAACTTGGAAACGACGAGAGAAAGGAACTTGCGGAGTGGCGACTGACTCCAGCTGGCAAAGCAGCCCAAGCCGCAGGCATCCTGCTAAGAGATAGCAAGAAGCAGAGTGGAAAGGGTTCCCCCAAGAAAGGGAAGAAAAGCTATGCCAAAGTGTCAGCTGCGTTGGTCAAGAAGCAAGTTGCTAAGGCCCTCGAAGCAAGTAAAGAAAAGGACAAGAAGACATCTGAGCAAGTGAAGAAGGATGCACTGCTAGCGTCGCTCCTTGCTGATGCTTCTAACAATCCTGCAATGCAAGCCAAATGCAGCATCGGAGCAACCTAAACACTGTACTTGTCACGCCATTGTTCCATGCCCTCATCTGTGCAGCGACAGAGGAAAAGGCTACGAAGCCGATGATTGATGGATCTGGATTGTCTTGAGTTGAGTTGGACTCTCATGCTAACATGCCTGTTGTCGGATGTCAAGCGTTCATCCTAGCCGACACTGGTAAAACTGTATCTGTGAGTGCCTACAACCCTGACTATCCAAGCAAACAGATCCCTGTCGTCGATGCTGCCCTCTTGTATCAAGATCGTTTCAGCGGGGAGGAACATATTTTGGTGATAAGAAATGCTCTTCACGTACCGTCGATGGCAAACAATTTGATCCCGCCGTTCATCATGCGAGAACATGGCATCAAAGTCAACGACACAGCGAAGATTCATACCTCGGACCCTTCAAGTGATGATCATGCGATTGTCCTTGATACGAATGTCAGGATTCCGTTATACTTGTATGGAGTGTTCTCCTATTTTTCGACAAGATGCCCAACGGAAGAGGAGCTGCAATCAACAGGAAGTGTCTATGTTTTGACGCCTGAGCGGTTTGACCCTCATGAATCTTCTTATGCCCAAAGAGAAGGCGAGATCCGATTACCGGAAGACCGAACATGTGAAAAGCTACTGTTAGCAGACATTCCTGGCCCTAGTGCGGTTGTCTGTGCGGCTAATGCTCTGTCCTCACTCGAACAATCTGAAATTGACGTGAACCTTCTAACACACGAAGTCGATAATGTACCATTGGCGCCAATTAATGCAGAGCTTGCGGCGCTATCCACCGACGTGTGTGACCGTTCCCTATTTGAAAAACTGTCGGCTCGAGCTGAAGTTGCTGCGATGCAAAAGTCCATTGGCACATGCCATTCAGAAGGTGGCGTCACACTACTGGATCGTCCACATACTGATGACCCAGATCGCCCACCGGATATCAGCATTGGAAGCTTGAGTACGGAACAGTTGATGGAACATATGTTGGAACATGAGTTATG